AATATGCGTTTTTGCTGCCTGTTGCAGCGCTCTAGCGCTGCACGGCAAAAACGCATAAAAAACTGTTTTGTCGCAAACATAGGTTTTCTATTTCTGTTTCAGTTACAAAATAATTTCTAAACTTGCGAGACACAAAAAAAGAGGTTTAAATAACTGAAAATATTTTGTCGAGTGTAAGGATCCCAGTAACATCATTAGCATGTGATATATTTCTACTGAGCTAGGAGGTGTTGGTAATTTTGGTACAAACCCAGGCTGGAAAGCACCAGGCTCTCTGGTGCCACCATGCGTTTTTGTACCAAACTCGCAGATCGCTATCAGCAAGAATGATCCTTACGCTGTAGCCTAACACTTGGGCTCATACTGGCCGTGCTTTTGATCCTTTTCGGCATGCAGGAGGAAGGGCGTCAGTTGGGATGAAGGTGGTGCATTAAGAGCCGCACCGACATCCAGGTGCATGATGACCGGTTTTTTGCATGAAGTCCGGTCGTTTTTTCGGCAAATGCTCGCTTTGTGGAAGAATGATAAATGCAAATTTTTTGAAAAAATGCAAAATTTCCAGTTCACTAAAAAGTGGAAGCACTGCTCGAGCGGTCGATTGTCAGAAAATCCACGTTCATTTACATGTACGATTGCGGTTAAGGTCCAAGCTGCGAACGATTGAAAATATGCAAATTTTCACTTCATAATAAATTGAAAGTATTGCTCGAACGGTCATTTTTCAAAAAATCCATGTTCATTTGCACATGCATTTGCGGTCCAGGTCCGAGTTGCTAACGATTTTTGGGTTGAGAAGTTGCTTGGGGCTGTGGTTGGGGCGCTAGAGAGCTGAATTTAAAATTCTTTTCTCGCATTTGCATAGAGAATATCCCTGCAAATTTTCAGCTTTCTACGTTGCATGGTTAGCAAAATCGTTTCCCTCCAACATATTTCTTTCGGGCCTGTACGCGGAGTCTAGGCGCGTATGGGGGAAGATCTTAAAACAGGAGGATGACACACGGGATAGGAACATATATCCAAAGTTTCAGCCTCCCAGCTTTTCTGCTTGCTGAGATGAAAGTGGGTGATAAAATGCACTCTCTTTCCGAACACACACAGGCAGCCTTTCGACAATATGCGTTTTTGCTGGCTGTAACAGCGCTATAGCGTTGCACAGCAAAAACGCATAAAAAACTTTGTAACTTTAACGGCTGTATAATTAATGAACTCAATTTTAGTGTAAGAATCTTCAGATGTCTCTCTGAAGTAATATTTGGAGGAGCAACCAGATCCCCAAGAAGTTACACTAGTTACGCTGTTCGAGGTTTCCCGAAAAGGCCACAAACAGTTGAAATCATCTGTTGCGAGAAAATGAAGCCAGTGGTTCTCTATTCCGACTGAACTATCCATACAGGACATTTCTGAATTTCTTACTTCTTAAATGAAATGGTTAGGGCTTCGATATTTTTCGCGGGCCACTGTTTCTTCGGATCTTTCGAATCGTGATCTGTTATCCACTACGCTATTGATCTATATGCTCCATACGTGGTTTTTGAGTATTCATATTTGTGTTTTTAGCACTTAAATATATATCACCTTAGAGTATCTAAGGCTGCAATCACAAACTAGTGCATACTTTTCTAATTTTCGTCGTATTTTGTGAGTCATCGCGGCATCGTGTGGAGTATCGGGATTTAATAATAGAAGTGGCTAATTCCAAAATCTTTTTTTAAAAAGGATATTCATCATTCTCGAGCGCTTGCTTCAGCCGAGCAGTCTAATGTCTGGCAAGCACATGCTGACTAAACAATTAAAAAAATGATGGATCTTTGGCTTCTGCAAGACTATCTCAAAAAAAAACATGCTTCCATTCGTTTTATTGTCAAATAATTCTTCCAGATTTGCCAGATTATTCAGGAATAAGCTTTACAGGGAAAAATCTCCTCAGCACAGTGTCAGGAAACACAATTTGCTATGCATGGGAAAACGCAGTCGTCTTCGGAACGACCGCAAAAGGCGTCGTCGTCGTGCGGCATGCACATCTCCGGCTTCTACATGTGGTCGAAGCAGCACAGTGTGATGAGTTCGCTCTGTGGCTGCTTCTCGAAGCATTCCGAATTCAAGCCGCTCTACGCATCCAGCATTGCGGATTCCAGTGATTATGATGATTACTATGAGGACGAAAACAACGGCGGATTGATCCCGCAGAATGTTTCGGAGCCAGATTTCAGTCGCCTTCGTCGTGATCAGGAGCAAGGTAGGCCACTGGTGAAGTTATTATTCCACTTTTTTGTTTTCATTTTTTGTATTTATTTAAGGTTGTAAAGCATTTAGTGCTGAAGATGTTATGTTTACTCCATGTTTGATTTTAAAACCTGCTTCTTATCTCAAAATTTTCGAATTAGCTTAAATTTGAGCCTGAGCTCATCAGGCATAACAAAGTGAATTCTCAAAAATGATTCCGAGAAGACTCATTTAAATCGCTTGACAAATTCGTAAATTCTTGTGAATTCGTAACTTCACTCATTCTGATTAGAAAATAGGCTTACGGAGTAAAGTTAGATATTTGGCTTTAAACATGACCAGAGAATTTCTTTTTTAAAATTTTAAGCTTATAACTTTTTCGGCTACTGAGCAATAAAATTTCCTGAAATTGGCGTTGGAGGAGGACCAAAAATGTTTTGAAAAACTCGATTTGAGTTAAAGTCTGGAAAAAAAACAAAGGCAAAGGGCGACCTAAATGTTGATTTTAGGCTTTCTAATTTAACGACCATGCACTTTAGCTTTCTGGCTTTCATCATTCCAAGACTGAAATACGTGACCAATATATACGGGCATAAGTATACAGACAAACACACACACATACATACACATGCACTTATCCTTTTGCCTTGTTGCATTTTATTTTGCTACAATGATGCAAAAACATAACAAAGTGTGTGCCACCTCAAGTGTATCACAACTCATCTAAAGACAGAAATAAAGATATAATGTGACAGTAGTAATAGTAATGATTATAATGACAGTACCAAATAATAACAATATTAAAAACAATGATAGTAATAACAGTAATAATGATAATAATAATAATAATAATAATAATAATAATAATAATAATAAT